TCTTTTCAGATTTTTACTTGGCTGGGTAAAGTGATTCATACCTGTAACCCTAGCACTTTGGGAGGCTGAGGCCAGAAGATTGCTTGAGGCCAGGAGTTCAAGACTACTAGCCTGGGCAACATAGATTCCATCTCTACAAAAAATAAAAAAAATATTATCTGGGCATGGTGGCACGTGCCTGTAGTACCAGTTGTTCAGGAGGCTGAGGCAGGAGGATTGCTTAAGCCCAGAGTTCAAGGTTATAGTGAGCTATGATCAGGTCACTGTACTCTAACCTGGGCAAAAGAGTGATACCCTGTTTAAAAAAAGGGGAGGGAGCGAGGGAAAGAAAAAAATCTTTGCCTTTTATTTTCATTGTGTTTTCTTACTCTATTGAGTTAGTAAGGGCGAGGTGTGAGAGAGAAGTCTTTCTCTTTGTCTGATGTACATTCTATGAATATTTTCTCCCAATCTGCAGCTTGCCTTTTTGTTTTAATGGTATCTTTCAAAGAGAAGTTTTTTGTTGTTTTTTTTTTGAGACAGGATCTCACTTTGTTGACCAGGCTAGAGTGCCGTGGCGTCAGCCTAGCTCACAGCAACCTCAAACTCCTGGGCTCAAGCAATCCTCCTGCCTCAGCCTCCCAAGTAGCTGGGACTACAGGCATGTGCCACCATGCCCGGCTAATTTTTTCTATATATTTTTAGTTGTCCAATTAATTTCTTTCTATTTTTAGTAGAGATGGGGGTCTTGCTCTTGCTCAGGCTGGTCTCAAACTCCTGATCTCAAGCAATCCACCCGCCTCTGCCTCCCAGAGTGCTAGGATTACAAGCTTAAACCTCCATGCCTGGCCTCTACCTTACTTTTTTCACTTAAAGCAGACACATCATTTAGATCACTCATAAGAGTATATGGAGATATTCTCCATTCCTTTTAAAGCTGTAAAATACTTGTATGAATGTTCGTAGATACCAGTCCTCTACTAATGGATACTTGGATTATTTACCGTTTTTTGCTGTTGCATTGAATAACTTTTTTTTTGCCAGCTTTTCTTTGCAAAGCTTATCTTAACTGCTATTCTAACCATTCTGTAATGACTCACTACCCCAGACATCTTTCTAGAGCTCCAGATCTAAACACAGGAGCCTAGTAGACATTCTTATTTAAATGTTCCTTTGGTTTTTTGTTTTGTTTTGTTTTTAAAGAAATATAGTCTCTAAATGTTGCCCAGGCTGGTCTTGAACTCCTGAGCTCAAGGAATCTTCCTGCCTCAGCCTCCTGAGTAGCTGGGATTATAGGCGTAGGCCACTACACATGGCTGAATGTTTCTTTATGACTTCATAAAAGCACGAACAAAATTGAACTTGACATTTTTCTCTACTTTCACTTCTTTTTCGTTTCTGTAGATGATAGTTACTTATTCTAAGCAGAGTCATATCTAATTCTTGTCTACCTTACCCCAAAATGCTTGCTTTACTTCCATCTGTCAAAATCCTACAACATGCAAGTTCCACTTCCATGAAATTTTCTCCAACTAGAAATGATCTCTTCCCTTCTCAGAACTTCCAGAGAGAGCACTGTATTTTTAAGAGAAATTTTTTTGTTTATTTTTACTTTGTCTCTTTAGTACCAGAGCACTTTATACTGTTCTTTTAATGTGCTGCTTTAAATTACAGTTGTTGATACATATTCATATATACCTATCTAGAACATGGGGTCTTTGGCAGAAATATGCTGCATGTCATTTATATTGCCATTGCAACAGGCACAATGCTTTGTGCATGATAGGTGCTCTGGTACATAAGTGAGTGGATTCTTGCTAGCAGTATTCATATGTAAGCAGTACTTTGTGCTTTTCCTACTAGTAAATATCATGTTATTAGATATACTTGCTTTTGGATTGTTAAGTAGGGCTATTTATGCCAATTAGGTTGTATGCCCCCCACCCCCACCCTTTTTATCACATATGCTTTGCAAACTTTAGGGAAATTTTCGTTTGGTGGCTAAGAGAAAATGACTGTTTAGCACTAATGGATACAGACAGAAAATTCTTAGAAATTTTGACCTTATAAAGAACACTTTTCCATACACTTATTTTGTTCTTAAAATTTTCTCCATTTCATTCTTAAAAGCTTATGGAAAAAGCTGGATGCCTGGAAAATTTTGCATTACAAAAGCTGTTTCAGAGCAGATTGGAATGTACATATTTTGTTCCCAAGAACTATTCTGACTTCAGTAGTGGCACTCTCCACTGAAGGAGAGTCAGGTTTGGGCAAAATTATGGGAAAGGTCTTCATATGGTATTTAGATTAAACTACCTTGAAAGGTACAAACTTGTTTCATCAAAATGTTATAGAAGGTTTTTTGTTTGGGGGAGTACGGAATGGTGATGTGTAAATGTGTATGCACAAACAAAAAAATGTATACATCTGTGCACATGGAGATGATTCCTTATGGGCTAATGGGTAAAGGGAAGAAAATTGCTAGATGATTACAGATTGGGACAAGAATGAGATTTCCTATTTACGACATCACCTGCCCTGGGGCAGCTGTTCCTAAGTAATTAAAGTCGGATGAACTTTTATGCATGACTTTTTCTTAGCCAAATGTTATTCACATATTTCTGTTTAGCTTCCTTAGGGTTTGATTTTTCTTTGCTGTAAAATTTAAGCTGTCAAACTTGTTGTGTTCCAAACTTTTTTGATTCTTGTGCCACCTTGACTGCTTTAGCCAAGTCCTTGTGTTATCCATAGTGTTGTTCACTGGAGATTTTCTTTAAATTCACTCCTCCTCTTAAAAGGAAACTTTATGGCCGGGCGTGGTGGCTCACGCCTATAATCCTAGCACTCTGGGAGGCCGAGGTGGGCGGATTGCTTGAGGTCAGGAGTTCAAAACCAGCCTGAGAGCAACGAGTAGACCCTGTCTCTACTATAAATAGAAGAAATTAATTGGCCAAACTGAATATATAATAGTATGTTATATAGATATTATAAATAAAATAAGAAATAGCCCCGGGCCATCGGTGGCACATGCCTGTAGTCCAGCTACTGGGAGGCTGAGGCAGTAGATTGCTTGAGCCCGAGGAGTTTGAGGTTGCTGTGGGAGCTTA